GAGGATATTTCTTTGATGAAAAGGTTGAACAGTGAACTAGCTATCTCAGTAAGGCAAGCATTCGAAGTGTTCGCTTCTGTAATTTCAATTTATTAAAAAAAAAAAAGGAAGGGAAAAGCCCTTGTTAACGGAAGGAAAACATTAAGCTGTGTATTTATTTACCAATATTAAAAAACATTACTTAAATTACAGCTTAAAAACATTAAGCTGTTTATTTATGTTATTATGTAACATATTATTATGTTATGGATTTGCATGGCAAGATTTTGGTATTGGGGGGGCTGTAGGGGTGGATTCTGTGAGAAGCTGCAAGAAGCTTCCCCCATGTCTGATAAAGTCAGTGCCAGCCGGCTCCAAGACGGACCTGCTGCTGGCCAAGGCCAAGCCAGTCAATGACGGTGGTAGCACCTCTGTGATAACAGATTTAAGAAGGGGAAGGAAAAACTCTGGGTGAGACAGCAGTTAGAGCAGTGAGACAATGTGAGAGAAACAGCTCTGCAGACACCAAGGTTGGTGAAGAAGGAGGGGGAGGAGGTTCCCGAAATGTCAGAGCAGAGAGCCTTCCCTTGCAGATTGTGATGAAGACCATGGTGGGGCAGGCCGTGCCCCTGCAGCCCATGGAGGTCCATGGTGGAGCAGATCTCCACCTGTAGCCCGTGGAAGGGACCCCACGCTGGAGCAGGTGGATGCCTGAAGGAGGCTATGACCCTGTGGGGAGCCCATGCTGGAGCAGGCTCCTGCCAGGACCTGTGGAGAGAGGAGCCCACGCTGGAGCAGGTTTGCTGGCAGGGCTTGTGACACCATGGGGAACCCATGCTGGAGCAACCTGTTCCTGAAGGACTGCACCCTGTGGGAAGGACCCACGCTGGGGCAGTTTGTGAAGAGCTGCAGCCCATGGGAAGCACTCACGCTGGAGAAGTTTGTGAAGAGCTGTCTCCCGTGAGAGGGACCTCACGCTGGAGCAGGGGCAGAGTGTGAGGAGTCCTCCTCCTGAGGAGGAAGGAGCGGCAGAGACACCGTGTGATGACCTGACCGTAACCCCCATTCCCCGTCCCCCTGCACCGCTCAGGGGGAGGAGGGTGAGAAAGAGGAGTGAAGCTGAGCCTGGGAAGAAGGGAGGGGTGGGGGAAAGGTGTTTTAAGATCTGGATTTGTCACTATCCTACTCTGATTTGATTGGTGATGAATTAAACTCCCTCTCTCCCCAAGTTCAATCTATGTTGTCCGTGACAGTCATTGGTGAGTGATCTCTCCCTGTCCTTGTCTCGACCCTCGAGCGTATTTCCTCTCTCCTGTCCAGCTGAGGAGGGGGAGCGATAGAGCGGTTTTGGTGGGCACCTGGCATTTATCCAGGCCACACCGAAACAACTTTACCATTTCTGTGTCTTTCAGTTGTTCCCTTTGGCAAGCTACCCTATGGCAGAGGGGAAAGTAGGGGCGTGTTGTTTCAGTGAACAGGCTGGGGTTTTGCTGTTGTTTTGTGAGACTGCACAGTCAGTTCTGAAGGAACAACAGTTAGAAATAGCTCTGACCCTTTTATGGCCAGTGTTGCAGGATTTGGAAATATATAAAGCACAAGTTAGAGCGGTGCTGTTAAAGTGACTTTGTTCTAAAATTTGTATACATTGTCTGTGTTTTGAAAACTGTTCCTTTCCTTTTTGCGTGAGGCATGGTTGTAAGTGCTGAAACCTGTATTCCTCCTTGTAGTCTTATATGGAGGCTGGAAGGAACCAGAAGTGAAACACGCGTTTTCTCACAGATAGGTAACTGCATTGCCATGGTAACTTGGGGATCTCATATTCCAAATACACCATGTCTGTTGACAAATTGGACACTGCTGCTAGAAACAGGGATATAAAGATACACCTTGTTTTCCTGCCGCTTTGGTTCTTTTACGTACAGTGAAAGGGAATGTCTTTTCATATGTAGTGCCCATTGTTAAATTCACCATATTTATGTTCATCCTCTTGTAAACACTTCCCCTCCCCAATAAAACACCACAAAAAATGAAATATTGTGTGAAAGTACTACACAGCAGCATGGAAAGTGGTTGTGATTGTGCCAAAATACATGAACATCTGTTATGAATTTTGCATGGACTTTATGCATTTGAAAAATAAAACTTGTTATTAATTTTTCTACTCGTGCAGTTCATTCTTGGTTGTGGTTTTTTTTTAATCTATAGTAAAATGTTGACTTTCATAACTGTGGGAGACATATGACGTTTGTAAGAGTACTTGTTAAACCAGACTTGATTTCTCAGGTGCTTTGTAGTGTAGTGAGCAAGTCTGACAGGGACTGTGGTTCGCACATAGCTCGTAAGCAGATTCTGGGTGCCGCAGCAATCGTATTTTTTTCAAGAAATTGCTTCTGGCTTTAATGTTTGTAAAGGGAAACTTGCGAGAGTATCCCAAAAACAATGAATTCAGTGATATGCTGAAGGGTAGTAGTGGTTTAACCTTATCTGGGCTATTCCTTCGAACAGTCACTGGCAGAGCAAGGGGCTCTCCACAGCGGAGTGAATGTAGAAGGCTCATCGTCATCTCAGTGCGCCCTGTGCTTCTCCATTGCTTCTGACATGCAAGTTTGTTCTTGGAGCAGTGTGTATGGTGTGCTGCAGGATTTGGCACAGCGTTTTCCAGTTGTTTCCAGTGAAGTCTCCTTCCTTTCCTCCGTTCTCTCTTTCACTTTGACTTTCTCACCAGTGTAAATAAAATAATGGCAATCTTTTGGTTGACTGTGGAAGTAATTTTGTAAGCATATATGATTAACTGATACAGAGGGTGCTATAGGTGGGGACCAATACCAAAGAAGTGTTACAGTCCTAAATTTGAGATGAGGTTTAATGTGAGATTGAGGAAGGAGAAGCCTTTGGAAAATAGCAGAGCTCTTAAGTGTTGGCCTTTTAGATGAGGGTATAGCTATACTTTACTAAATGTCATCCCTCCATTACTTCTTTCTTCCAGTGCTTCCAGAAATATTTTAAAATTGTCTTTTACTGTATTAGTCAACTTTCAAAAGAAAAATTATGAAGGCTGTGCTGCCATTCAGCGTGACCTGGACAGGCTGGAAAGTTGGGCAGAGAAGAACCTGATGAGGTTCAACAAAGGCAAGGGCAGGGTCCTGCACCTGGGGAGGAACAACCCCATGCACCAGTACAGGCTTGGGGCGGACCTGCTGGAGAGCAGCTCTGCGGAGAGGGACCTGGGTGTCCTGGTGGACAACAGGTTAACCATGAGCCAGCAGTGTGCCCTGGCTGCCAAGAA